CCTTTCGGATAAAAAAAGAATTATCCAAATCGGTCCACTAGCGGCGGAGTTATGCCGTAACACACATAAAAAAAAAAATAAAAAAAAAATAAAAAAATAAACATACCGTCGAATTGAATACCTCCTTCTTTTGGGAAGTCGGTCAAAAAGGTGTATAACTTAACAGAAATAGATGTTTGAAATTGTATTTTCATAGAACATTTCATAAATTGTATAACACCCACGCGGTGTAAATTGTAAGCGTAGAACTCCACACTTGTTATAGCAAATGTTGTCTTTCATTTTTAGATAAGATCGACAAGGATAGCAATATAATTTTATACAACTGCTACGACAATAGAAACCAACAGTGAGCGTAGGATACGACTGATTGCTCTAAAGGGATAAAGTGAAATGTTTTTGAACACAATGAAATTTCCAAGTATAAATTCTAAAACATGCTTTGAAATAAACAAGACTTTCCCCTAATGGATCTTAACAAATGGTATTATTTTATAACAATACTTTTCTATCAAAAGCATAAATTTAACTATTTTATTTGTGTTACTGCGTAGGCGAGAATGCATAAATCTTACTTTTTTTATATAATATAAGGTGGCAAACGAGCAAGCGACCGCCTGAATCCATCGAAATGGAAAGCGTCCGCTGCCCATAGATATCCGCAATTGCAGATGCGTTGCCTTCCCTTAATTAATGGAGGAGGAGACGCACATAAAGAGGACACTTCCCCTTCATATGCGTCTCCTCCACCGTCAAATCCACTTTTCCTTCCCATCCTTTCCTCTTAAGAAGGGGGTAAAAAGGGAGTAAAACTGGGCCTCCGGCACCACACTCATCAGACGAAACGCGGAATTGCTTCCACTTCACGCCTGTTTTCAACCCATTCGAGCGAAGATGCTAAAGCGGTCTCTACCACTGTTAAACCGCTTAGTACTTATATTATAAATGCAAAATTTTAGATAGATAGATGGAGGAAGTAGAGTTTGTAGGCTAAACTGCTTAAAGAATCTCAATAAAATTAAAAATAGATCTTTACTTTTGTCCTTTAGGGTAATCTGTAAGAATATATCTATATATCTATAATCTGTAAGAAATATAATCTACTTACTTTTTTCTTTTCACACGGACGCTATGGGGGGCGAAAGCTAGTGCTTAATGAAATTTTTAAAATTACCATCAAAAGCTGTTATTCGAGATCAACATTGATTTCTGTCAAAACAAAATATTCATTGACCTTCTAGTTCTAGCTTGAAGTTTGTTCTTAACTTTTTAAGTAACAATGCATTTATGTTTTCGTGCCATTTAATGTTGCATTAAAAATGAAATGTACAAGTTATTTTCTCATTAAAATATCCATGTAACTTCATTCGTGAGAATATTTCACGCTAGCGAAAAGGTGGCGAATAATTTTGCATATTTTAATTTGTTATTGTATTTCGAAGACTGTAATTAATTTAAACAGTTTAAATATTTTACGAATCAAAATTTTATTAATGTTTTAATTAAACATGTTTTAATTACTAAAGGCTTTATTTCGTGAAATAATAACGTCTAGCAGAAGAATTATTAAGCAGTAGCTTTCGCCGGCGACTCCGTCTGCATGCAATTAAAACATAACTAAATCAAGTAGCCTATGTGTTCTTCTACACTACCATCTACGTCTATGCCAAATTTCATAAAGACCCGTTTAGCAATTTAGCCTACAAACGCTAAAAAACATCTATCCATCTAAACATTCGCATTTATAATATTAGTATGATGGGTAATTAATAATTGTTTATTCTATCAATTATAGCGATATATCTACTAAAGGTAATTTCTTTTATTTACATAAGTACATTTTTTGCAATTAAATTTTCCTTTGATTACGTTACTAAACTAATTATCATGAAAAATTTCGTAGCTTGAAAATATTAAATATTACAGTCACGTTTAACGGGCGATGCAGTCAAATTTTGAACAAAAGGACAGCAGCCACAAATTTCATATATTCTAATATCCACATAGTTATCAAAGCTATCCTTTGTTACTAACAAATAATAAAGCGAACAATTTCTGTATCAAAATTACAAACGCTCTTCTATTAAACTGTTAAATTGCAACGAATTTTGATTAAAATTCGAATTGCAAATGTTATTATATGAATAGTAAATTGAAATAACATATTCATTTAAACATATTCAAACTTTAATCTTACTTTCTTACTAATATTATAAATGTGAAAGTTTAGATGGATGGATGTTTGTTAGCGTTTGTAGCCTAAACGGCTGAACGGATCTCCATGAAATTTGGCACAGACTTAAAGCATAGTCTGGAAGAACACATAGGCTACTTTTTATCTCGGCAATAGTTGCGGTTCCCGTGGGATTCATTAAGTTAGTTTTTTAATGTTTACTTGATCATTCTGCAACGGTTCAACATATCTTATTGAAATTTGGCACAGATATAAAACAAAGTCTGGAGTACACATGGGATAAGGTTCATCCCCGAGAAATGTCCGCCGAGGGATACGTAGCTTTTTGTAATTTATATAGTTCGTATGTTTTCTAATACCACGCAGACGAAGTCGCGGGAAACAGCTCGTTTAGAATAAGACAAGTATTATATGTTTGACTAGTTTTCGCCCGCGATTCCGTTCGCGAATAAAAAAAAGAAAAGCAAGTAGCCTATATGTTCTTCCAGACTATCCTCTACATATATACCAAAATTTATCGTAATTCGTTTAGCCGTTTAGACTACAAGCTCTAACAAACATCAATACATTCATTCATCCATATAAACTTTTGCATTTATAATATTAGTATGAAAGTATGAAATATGATTTATGATATTGAATACGGTGAATAACTCAATTAGTCTTGAAGGGTTTGTAATTAAAAACCTAACTGTAAATTTTTAATTTATTAAAACAGAATATAACAAGATTATCAGTATCGATATTAACGTTATTTGCGCCCTGGGCGAGCTTTCTAGGGCCCCTTTTACCATGCTATAGGGGTAAGAGGGGAGGTTTTAGGAGATGCCCCTTTCTGTATAAGACCGGGCGGTCACCCAACAGCACTCTACATAGTTTTTATGACATATTTAACTATTTATCATAAAGTAGCTGTCTCTCGCGACTTCGCCCACGTGAATTTTAAAAATATAGCCTTTGTTACTCATAGAAAAATCACCTTTCCAACGGTGAATTTTTAAAATCGGCATAGTAGTTTTTTATTTTAATACATACAAAAATACAAATCTTTCCTCTTTATATATATATATATATATATATACAGATATAGATGAAAGCAAATTAGAACTTCAAAATTAATAATAATGGTAACTTAATATGTAGCTTTCGGCAATGCGAACTTTATAATGCGGCTATATTATGGTCTGTGGAAACAGCATATTGTGTAGCCTGTCGCGGTTTTCCCGCGTATTAGCACCGTTTTGTGATTATACATCAAACGGATATGGATGCGTTCCAATTTCAAATTTGAAATTCGTATCGTTCTAGAATGTATTACGAAAGAATAGATAAAACAATAGCTTTTATTTAAGGGTAAAATTAACTATATTTACAAACTCCAATTCTTTATTTTAGAGATGGTCAAATTTCCACACATTCAAGGACGGCTGTGGATTGACAATTTCGAACCATTAAAAATTAAAAAAAAAACATCAATTTATATAATGTATTTTATTACGTATAATTTGAATGAAATTTTTACAAATTATAACATCTTAAATTAATGATACTCTTAAAATAATTACTTTATGAAAAAATTAAAATTAAAACACAAAGGAAAATAATTAATAGAATCATTGAATGAAGCAATTTAATTAAATTTAGTTGTCAATAAATTATTTCTACTAAGTACCATTAATCTATTTAGTTTAACGTGTAAAGAGAAACTTCACTTTATTTTCAGTTGCTTTTTTACTTTCCAAATTTAATAAATTAAATGTTAAATATTACTATTTATTTAGGCTTATCTAATACATTAAAATTGTGGCAATAAAAAAAGGAGCGTGGTGGCTCAGTGGTTTAAGCACTTGACTTGTAATCAGGTCTTGAGTTCGAATCCCGCCATGTACCAATGTGATTTTCTAATTTTCATATGTACATAATTTACCCGACATTCTTACGGTGAAGGAAAACATCGTGATGCAACCTACACATATCGGCGAAGAAATTCAAAGATATGTGTGAAGTCAACCAACCCGCAGTGGGCCAGTGTGGTTGACTATGGCCTAGTCACCCCATACTTAGGGTAGGCCACGAGCCGGGGGGGACATATAGTGAGCTGGTAATGATGAATAAAAAAATATTATTACGGTGAGAAATATTTTAAAGTTTAAAATTGCCTTATTTTTACTTGAACTCCTACACTAAAGCAGAGAAAACGCATATGGTAGACTACAATACACTGCAGTAAAATTAAGGTCATCGCTCATTACACCTACTCAATGTTAACGCGTAGACAAAAGTTGAACGCCGCGACGATTGAATAATCGACACGCGCAGCTTCCATGAGCGGCGAGTATACGTCACACGAACACCGAAACACCTCCGTGTGATAGAATGAGTGATGACCTTTGCACGTTTAGTTACAAGCCTCGCAGATAAGCGAAGCGTTGGTTCTGCTTTGTGTTTCCATCAGTTGCGTTTATCGATATCGGCAATAATTTGCGTGTATAAGTGGTGCTTGACAACTTTCACGATTTTATAATTCAACGTCGACAGTCCATCTTCCTCCATTGAATCTTTAGTTTGGGCTAATATTTCAAATCTGTAAATGACAATCGACTAAGATTAACGAAGTTAACATAAGAATAACAAAAAGTACAGTCAGCTGCATAAATGCGAATATATCTTTAGACACTTGTGTATTCTTTCGAATTTAAAAATAAGTGCAAACATGTTTTTGAAATATTTGTTATGCAGATGATTGTACATAAATGACACTTCACGATGAAATTTGAGTAGAATGATTTCACGCGTCAAAATCCATTCAATGCCACAATGAAATCGACATACAGACGCGCATAAGCACTTATATTTTTGAAATAAACAATTTCAGTCTACCAAAATCTGAAAATATCACCAAGAAAACAAAAGTGAGTAGGCTACTGGAAGAACTTCCAGACTATCCTCTACATATATACCAAATTTCATCGAAATCTGTTCAGCTGTTTAAGCTACAAACTCTAACAAACATCCATCCATCCATCCATCCATCCATCTAATCCATTAGTATGAACTATGATATTTATAAGATAATATAAATTATATCAATGGAAAATACATTGCTTGTGTCCAAATGTTACAAAAATAAAGATTATACATACAAAGCAAAACTCACCTGAACGGGTTTTTGAAAGCTTCCTCGTGGTCAAGCATAATGTATTTTGTAATTGGCAAGTTGACATATCTTGCAAAGCCGTAGTACATCTTTTGCACTCTGTGTAAATAGAACGATTATTAATCTAATGAAACATATATGTACTATCGGGTAATCTAGCAGTGTTCCATTTTATAGGTACAGTCATTTGAACGTTCTGTACGCATTGAGACGACTTTGAATAACCAATTAGACATATCATTATCTCGTTGTTTTTTTTTATAGAGGTGGGGTTTATCTATTTGCAAACACGGCAATTCTGAAGTCAAACACCGCGACAAGTCCTGACTGTATTTAACTATAGTAACTCTTAAGATGGACAGTTGCCAGTTCGATCATTTAGTTAATATTAAATTAAGGTAAATGTATTTTATTTACCTTCTATGCATATCATCATCTTCTCCGCCCCATCCCCAAAATTTGTTGGAGAAGCCGTTCACAATTGAAAATTGCTCAAGTGTCATCACCATTACTCCGCCAAACATATCACTTACCCTTAAACATTGACAAAGGTCAGTTTATAATCTCTGTGCTCTTTTTACGATAACTGTTTTTGGTTAACAGTGTTATGTGAGTGTAATTCGCGGCCATTGCCATACAGTGCACTACACGACGATATCGTTTATGAGTTTGGATTATTGTAAGTAAAGAATATTTAACAGTGGTAGAGCCCGCTTTAACATCTTCGCACGAATAGGTCGGCTCGCCCGGTGCAATACCACAACCACACAGAACACAGGCGTGAAGTGGAAGCAATTCTTTTCGTCTGATGAGTGTGGTGCTGGAGGCCTAATTTTAGTCCCTTTTCCTTTCAACCCTTTTCTTAAGAGGAAGGAATGCGAAGGAAAAGTGGATTTGACGGTGGAGGAGACGCATAGGAAGGGAAAATTTTCTTGTTATATGCGTCTCCTCCTCCGTCAAGCAAGGTTAGGCAGCGGTAGCTTTCCATTTCGGTGGATTCAGGTGGCCGCTTGCTCGTTTGCCACCTTATATTATAAAAAAAAGCTAAAAACATATCTTTTTACTACGCTGATATTGCATTGTGAGAGTAAGTCTAGATTATACTTATGTAAAGAAAATGTTGCCATACAGAGACGTACATCATATTGAATAGTGATTCATAGACTCTTAGCAAGTCATTAGATTTTACTAAGCCTGAAGGATTCCTGTTATATTTTTTTCTTTATAGCCAAAACCTTGACAAGACTCTCATATATTTTGTTATTGTAGTGAAGACCAATAATAGTGAAACGGATATATATAGAAATGTTAATGAACTCACTTAAAATCATGTTTATCTATCAGTACGGACATATGCAGAGGATATTCTGGACAGTAGTACAAATTCCTCTCATCTAACGGCAGCAAGTCTATATCGTGGAATACAAAGCATTGCCACCCGCCTGGCTTTCGATTCTGACTCTCCACGAAACCCACGTTCATCAACTTCCCTCGATTGAATGATCTGTATCCTATTGAACAATAAACAATATCTTTCTTCCTTATCACACTCGTTGGTTTTCATCCAGGTTATTTCGGACGTCTCTTTCTGACGTTGCCATGTCACACTAAATTATGAATGCGAAAATTTGGAGGCGTTTATATAATCAGATAACTTCTGAACGGACTAAAGGATTTAAATGAAATTTGAAACGTAAATAGATTTGATTGAGGTATATTAAATATGCTACAGAAATGGCATATTTTAAGGAAGACTGTGCCATTTCAGTAGAATTTCAATATTGCGAAAAAAATGATAATTCCTTAAGTGGAGCTTGTTGTCCTGTAATCAACCTGTAAGTGCAATACATTTTTAGATGTGCAAAAGAACATCTTACGATATTGCTCGATAACGAAAATCCCATATTCCAACTGTTGCTTCATCAGAAAAGGGTGCATGTGATTCAAGAAGATGGGCAAATGCTGATCACGATCTCTGTAGAAGAAAATAACTAGTTATAAGTATGATTAAACAAAATCACAAGTATTGACCGACAATGAAAACTTTTTTCTTCTACACTATACGTCAACTTCAATATTTTTGCTGTTAAATAGGAATTAGTCGCAGAAGTTTGAACTCATGACGTCACGGGTTAACCAACGTTTCTAAGTAGACGAGTGCGTGACGTGGTTGGTGTTTGTGATGTTTATCGGAAAACCTTTTGTTAATGGTTACAAAACTTTTTGTTAACTAGTATTGGTAGTTCGTAAGTTATTGCTTACTAGCCGTGCGACTTCATCCGCATAACATTATAAAAATTTCATTTTATTGTTCACATTCGTCAAATTTTCAATTGCAAATGTCAAAATGACATGACATGATGACAAACCATGGCAACCTTACTTCCTTGATGTTGGCAACAACTTATGGTCTCTTTCCCACATTGGGGTTTTAATCTAAAATATTTATCCCTAAGTTTAACTTGAAAATAATACCGTGAAAATATATAGCGTAAAGCGTGACGTAAATGTAGGGCTTTTTATTAAAAAAAGAGTTATTCGAAAATATGCTATGATTGCTGACATCTTAGGCAACAAAGAAGTGTGTGTTTACTCTTTATTATAATAGTATAGATAGATAAACAAGAAATTAATATATCTGTTGTTACCTTACCGAAAAGGGACTATAATTGCAATTTTATGCCTTGCGGTGCAATTCGGAGGCGCATACTGTCCACCAGATTTTACTTCAGGGAATTTCTTCTCTATATAATCTAGATATAGTTCATTTTTACTCGCTGTAATTGGCCCTAAAAAATATATTTTTTATTTAAATTGTCATTCTTTTATCTAACTTGACTAATACGACATTTCCAAACGTAAGGTATATTACTTTTCATAAAACCAAAGTACTAAAAAAAATCTAAAATATAAAAAACCAAAATATTGTCACTATATGAAAATTGTCATTTGTCTGTTGGATTTAATTTCCGTTTTAGATTAAAAAAAAATGTTTTTTATTATTTAACTAGCTTTCGCTCGCACTTCCGTTCGCTTGGAATTAAAAAAACAAAAGTGAGTAGCCTATGTGATCTTCCAGGGTATCCTCTACATCTATACCAACTGTCATCGAAATCCGTTCAGCAGTTTAGGCTACAAAGTCTAACAAACATCCAACAATCCATCTATCCATCTAAACTTTCACATTTATAATATTAGTATAAAACTATGAATAATGATTACCTAGACCCGGAGGCACCTCGGGACAGAGAGGTTTAATAGTTCTAAAGTCGCGTTTTTTTACTGTCCTACCAGTAACTGTGCTAGAAGTAACATTTTCCATATTTTTACTTGCATTTACCAATATACGGTCATTATTAACTATTTCATTAGAAATTGTTTTAAATGTATTTATGGAATGCGTTGCTTTTACAGTCATAGTGTTAGCTTTAGTTGTCGTTGATGACCATTTTTGAGACCACACAGATGTCTTGGTACTGGAAAATTAAAAATTGATAGAAACAATTTTTTTTTTATAACATAAGGTGGCAAACGAGCAAGCGGCCACCTGAATTCACCGAAATGGAAAGCGACCGCTGCCCATAGACATCCGCAATTGCAGATGCGTTGCCTACCCTTAATTGACGGAGGAGGAGACGCACATAAAGAGGACATTGCCCCTTCCTATGCGTCTCCTCCACCGTCAAATCCCCTTTTCCTTCCCATCCTTTCCTCTTAAGAAAAAGGGGGAAAGGGAAAGGGACTAAAATTAGGTCTCCGGCACCACACTCATCAGACGAAACGCGGAATTGCTTCCACTTCACGCCTGTTTTCTGTGTGGTCGTGGTATTACACCGGGCGAACCGACCCATTCGTGCAAAGATGTTAAAGCGGGCTCTACCACTGTAGAAGTTTTAAAAATCTTATACAACGCTCATGGACATCCTCAATACAAGAGGAACTATAGATACATTGCTGGCTTTAGGGGAAATATTTGCATAACATATTATGTATACACGTCAATGTATACAGAACGTATACTAGCGCCCTGGGCGAGATATCTACGATGCCCTTTTAGGGGTGCCCTTTGTGCTTTAGGGGTTTAGGCTCATGTAAGACTTTGTAATGCAACTTTGACGCTATTAGCAAGACAATGGGCGCCCTGGGCGGCTTCTAATCTCGCCCTTCTATCCCTGTCACTGTTTAAAATAGTACTTACTAGATGAATTTTTAGGTATGTTAGGATATATGTAATATAGCTTTGCCCGCGACTCCATCCGCGTGGAAAAAACAAAAGTATGCCTATGTGTTCTTCCAGACTACGTTTTACGTCTAAGCCAAATTTTCAGGGAGATCCGTTCAGCCGTTTAGGATACAAAATCTAACAAGCATCCATCCATCTAAACTTTCGCATTTATAATATTAGTACGATATGTAATGTACCTCAATGAAGATGCGTCAAGTATACTACTTATGTAGTACACAACGGTCGACAGAAGCAGCACCAGTAGTAAAAGAAAGCGGACGGTGTGCGACAACCACCAGAAGCTGATAGGTCCATGCATGTTGTACTCTTAAATAACGCTACTGAAATGCAATAACAACTTATGCTTGGTTGACACTTGGCCAATAGGACAGTGATGGACTCAATAGCAACAATGAGAATTTACACTGTGGCACAGTTATCAATAATTGAATTCAAGTGCTTATGAGCAATTGGCCAAATGTAATCCGATCATTATGATCACATTATAATATGCATGTAAGCAAGTATAACAATATTCAAACTTAACGAAGCTCACTGTTAGCTCCCAGCGATAAAGTGTGAGTACGTGTTTCTCGTCCCTACATGTTTTATGTCCGGTGTTGAATTTTTCCCAAATTGTATTTATTACCTGATTCAACATAACATACCTTTCAATCCGCTTAGAAAACTTCATGGAATAAAATATAACCTAATCTATTATAGTGTTTCCGACATTTTGTTATGTCATGTCATTCTATTACTATAGCAACCACAAGTCACGTGTGAGTGGCGATCACTGATCTATAATAAATGGATAGGATGCTTGTAAATCATAATTGTAGTGGAATTTTGCTTTATTTTCAATTAAATATGCCTTATGAAGATAGTAACAGTTTTATTATATCTCTATTATTAGTTCGAAATCTTACCATTGTTATTCCTCGTCCCCCTTAGCTACAAAATGGCGAAAATCAAATAAACACACGGCTTGTACCCAGTCTATTTATAGTCAATTTGTTTAACAGAGTTTTTGGTGACTCAAAAATCTTTCATTTTTCAAAGAAAAACAGCATTCAATATTAAAACAAAAATGGCAATGTAAAACAATGAATAGCAGATGAATTGTTTTAATAGTATTTTTATCATATTTTACGTTAACAAGTTTCCAGTAGAGATTGGATAAGGGCCTATTTTTAACATCATATGTTTTCATACAAGATTAATTTTATTTATTGAATCTTAATTATTTGTCACAAACTTTATTTTTATTTTATAATATACAAGCTTAACTATTCTATAACACTCTTACACTCTCTGTCTTTGAATTAATTGTATCACAAAACAGAATTATGTATGGATTACCACTATGTTACTTTTAAGGTAAGCACTCATTACACTCAAGGCGCCCTTAAATCCTTACACCTCTATATGACGTCCTTGTATTCAGGTTACAGTGTCACCGTTAAGCGACAATGAGTTGATGTAATGTGCGATAACCTTTAACCCATCAGTAAGGTGCGTTAACGTTCGCCAAACAAGAGCTTGGCGAAATACTGCCATCAGCTGGGCTCGTCTATATTGGCGACGACGAGCGTGTACAGATGGTGCTGGGTAACCTCCACCAGCTTATATTCGAGGGTCGAGAGCCCATCGCTCTCTAATGTTTTACTAGTCTGTGTTAACAATTGATACCTGGAAAGTAAATTTAATTAGAAACATTCATCTTGACGATGAGATTCAAAATTTTAGATCTACGTACAGTCGGGAAAAACCGCGGTGGAGCCACTTAAGGAAATCCGCCTCTTCCTACAAATAACTAATTTGATAGCAGTGAGTGTTGCAAACGAAGCGATAATAAAAAGAAATTAGCCATGTGCCACTGACCGACTTTATATCGTGCAGGTATTTACGTTTTCTCATAAGCTGTATTGGTTTTTTTTTCGCGTCTCAATATTGTTTCAAAATTTTCAACCGATTGTAGTTTTTGATGTGGAACACCGCGCGTTTCCTCAATTGTACTATTAACTTTCCTTTTAAAATAGTAAAAGTTATAAATATATTTAACTGTATCTAATCTAGTTGTTAGAGATCTATTTTATAGAAATATTATCTTGAAAGAAAATGTTATTTAAAAACTAACCTCTTAGGATTTGCTACTGAAGGCTTGTGATCCAACATTGCGTATTTAGCGATTGACAAGTCTTCGTATCTCGTTAAATGATAATTCATCTTATTTAATCTGGAAAAAAGTAATAAGTGTTTTAAATGATACCTGCTTTTTGTAACACAGGTTGCATTGTAAGACTGGCTGTTTAGAATAATTTAAACATGACATATATTTTCTATTGAATTCAGTTGTTCAAAATAGAGAGAAGAAATTGTTCTTGTGTTCTTGTGTTATGTTGAGTTAAAAATAATATCTTGTTTTTTATATACACATGTAATATTAATTTAAATGTAAATAAATAATAAACATTATTCATTCTATCATTTGTGTTCTGGCTGAAGAAAATTCCTATCAAAAAGACACAATTATTTTTTTTATTTTTTTATTTTACTTTTGAATGCCCTCAAAGATTAATTCAAAATGATTAAGATATCAAAAACAGAATTTTTAAATTTATTTACCTTCGGAACATGTCATCGTCTTCTCCACCCCAGCCCCAATATTTATTAGAGAATCCATTTACTTTGGTGAATTGTTCAACTGTCATGGCCGATACTCCGCCAAAGATATCTTTATAAGGTAACCTGAAATGTAAACTTACTATTAAAGCCTGCATACGTTCAACTGACAGTTTTAACTGCAAAGTGCGTGTGCAACTAGTGAAGGTAACCTTCAACAGCTTTACAGATAAACGTAGTATCAAGTTGAACTTAGGAATAAACTAAATGTAAGTAAAATTTGTACTAATATTTGCTTATAGTTTATTCCTAAGTTTATCTTTACACCGCGTGTATTTGTAAGTCTGTAACTATACATGACAGTTAAAACTATACCTACCCACTTACAGTTTTAACTGATTTACATTTTTGATTAATCGAAAACTTACTTGAAGGAAAATTTATCTATCAATGCAGACATATGTCGTGGTTGTTCTGGACATGAGTACAAGTTCCTCTGATCCAGCGGCAGGAGGTCTATGTCATGGAATATGAAGCATTGCCACCCGCCCGCCTTTTGTTTCTGACTCTCCGCGAAACCTACGTTCATCAACTTTGCTCGATTGAATGCTTTATCACCTATAAAATTATGAAACTTTCAGTATTTTAAAAATTACTCTGAATCTAACGGAAAAAAATTGTAGGAGACAATAGGATTAGAGCGTTCGCACATGCGAAACTAAACTATCGCACAACTATTTAGTCGCGCTTTGATTCGTATGAGCTTATATGAAGGTGCGCACTACGAGATTTTTAGTTTTGCAACTAAACAGTTGTATTGGCTGCGAAATCGAGAATCACACAACAGTTTGCGTTTGTTTAGTTAGTGCATTATGATTGTCATTTTAAATATTAATTGAATAACTTACCATATTGTTCTACGATAAATATTCCATACTCCATTTGTTGTTTCATTAGGAACGGATGCATATGATTCAAAAATACTGCTAAATGTTGTTCCCGATCTCTGTAAAAGACTGATTTTATTAGCTACAAGTTGCTGTACCTCTTTGATAAGAATGATTTCTTTTAACTAATTTACGCCCATTTCAACTAATTTACGCTATAATGAAATCAAATCATGCTGGTAAATATTTTTACAAAGCCGTATATTTTAATATTTTATTACTCTGCTTTCGCTCGCTACACCGTTCGCGTGGAATTGAAAAACAAAAGCAAGTAGCCTATAAGTTCTGCCAGACTATCCTCTATGCCAAATTTCATCGAGATCCGTTCAGCAGTTTAGGTTACAAACTAACAAACATCCATCTATCTAACGCATTTATAATATTAGATTACTTCAGTAGAACTTTTGTTTTCCCCAATATTGTAGAATTGGCAAATACTTCACCTATACGGTACAATAATAGCGACTCTATGCCTTGCAGTGCAGTTCGGTGGTGCATACTGTCCACCAGGATCTACCTCCGGGTACTTAGTTTCAACGTAGTCTAATTCTATTTCAGTTTTATTTGCCGGTATTGGACCTGAAACCATCAAGGTATTAGCTTTTCAGATAGCAGCAGTCATTTAGGATGAAATATTTTAAATTGTTACAGTAAAATTGCGATTTAAATCGACCTAAAATAATTGACAATCAAACTTAACGATCTCGTTTTGTTTGATCAAAGAATGGGAATTGAGTACATTAAATTATAGCTCCTTTGTTTTTAATATTGAAATAAAAATTACCAAGATCAGGAGGAATCTCTTCACAAAGTGGTAGTGGTGGTTCTGTAGTATTCAAATTAAGTTTCTCTGTCGTTTTATTTATTATTACTTCTTCAGTCTTTGTTGCCATATACAAAGTGGTCTCTTTTTGATCGTTTTCAATCGTCTCAAGGTCTTTTGAATCTGTGGTTTGTTTAGATGTGGTGTGTTCAACTTCTTTATTCGGTTGTCTATCTTCAGTTGTCTTTGTCATTTGTTTTGTCCAATCAAATTTCATGGGACTGTTTAAAAAAAACTTGAGATAATAAAAAAATCGACTACTTTTATTGATGCAATCATTTTATATATTATAGAGTGCGTAGTGATATTAAAAAGTAGATGGAATTCTAGAAGCTTCTAAAGAAGTACTTACTAGAACGAGGTTTGCGAGTCGTTATGCGGGTGGAGGATGGATCTCAACACAGAGACGTCCAGTATTGATCCGAAGAGGTACTCAACTGCAACCAGAGCTAACACCAGTAGCAAGAGGAACCGGATCACCCTCGACCACCGCCAGCTGCCGCTCACAGTGCCCATTGACGCATTTGGCATGCACTTGAAGATTCCTATCCCTAGAAGCAATAGCTAAATTGTAACTATAATATTTTTTTTTATACCATAAGGTGGCAAACGAGCAAGCGGTAACCTGAATCCGCCAAAATGACAAAGCGACCGCTGCCCATAGACATTCGCAATAGCGGATGCGTTGCCTACCTTTAATCGACGAAGGAGGAGACGAACATAAACAGCATATTTCCCCTTCCTGTGCGTCTCCTCCACCATCAAATCCATATTCTCTTCATATCCTTTTTTTATAAGAAAAAGGGTGAGAAGAAAAAGGGATTAAAGATGGGTTTCCGCTACCACAGTCATTAGACGAAACGCGGAATTGCCCCCACATCACTCCTGTCTTCTGCGTGGTCGTGGTATCACAACTGGCGAGCCGACCAATTCGTGCGAAGATGTTAAAGTGGGCTCTACCACTTTTAATTACTTTAAAACTATGTTCATTACTTTAATACTTCCTTGTTTGTTGATAAAATATTGTAGAGTAAGAACTCAATAATACTTATAGTTATCATTTGTGTATAATATTTAAATTAATATGCAAATAAAATTACGCTTACCTGTAATATTAAATTGTGTAAACCTTCTCTTCGATGTCCAATCATCCTTAGTCTCCACTAACGTCCACTACTTTTTACATCTGGAAAATAAAGAAAAAAATAATTACTTAGTGCTAATACTAATAGTAGTGTAGTAATTATACAGTATTTGTGAAAGTTTTTTTACTATTCCTGCTTTTTATAACAACGCTTACAAAAGGTTTGAACGATTTTTACTTTGAAAACAGAATACCGTCGGTAAAGACAACTGGAAGTATAGATTTTATTTAGACTCCCCCTCTACGCCCTTCGATAGTGTATCTAGATTGGTTTTGTTATCAGGAAAATGACGTCACATTACTAATCATAACACAGATAATATAAATAGATCCTGCCTTAGATAAAGGCTTTATAAATCGTGTTATAAAGTCGCCAAATATTTTCAATATGAAACCAAAAGTCAAAATCCAAAGTCGTGAGAATCTAGCTATATGAAAGTTTCGTAATTACTTAGAGTGTTGAGGAAAAAATATTATTAGACGTATACGTCTAGTCAGAATTATAAATGTAATCGAAGTTGATAATAACTAATATCGTAAATTAATATCAGATAAGATACATCATAATCAATCATACGAACTTAGTAACTTGTATAACCGTGTATACTGACGAAACATTTATTTCAAAACATATTCTTGTCTAATTTTTTTTATAGTATAAGGTGGCAAACGAGCAAGTGGCCACTTGAATCCACCGAAATGGAAAGCGACCGCTGCCCATAAACATCCGCAATTGCAGATGCGTTGCCTACCCTAAATTGACGGAGGACGAGACGCACATAAAGAGGGTATTTCCCCTTCCTATGCGTCTCCTCCACCGTCAAATCCACTTTTCCTACCCATTCCTTCCTCTTAAGAAAAGGGTGGAAAGGAAAAGAGACTAAAATTGGGCCTCCGGCACTACACTCATCAGACGAAACGCGGAATTGCTTCCACTTCACGCCTGTTTTCTGTGTGGTCGTGGTATTACACCGGGCGAGCCGGCCCATTCATTTTCATTTTTATGAAAGAGAATGACAGAGATCAGAATATTATTATTTGAATGTTTCTGTTTAAATACTTGTTAATTTTTTAATTTACAATATGACTGACTTTAACTTAAACTTAATACTTAATGTACAACACATTAAGTAGAATAAAAAATCGTATGTAAACTGTAAAAGAGTTTATAATACTGCAATAAAATAGTAAATTCTAAATTCTGTATTAACAATAATAAATTATGAAAAACAGTTTTTTAAAAGAGGATTAACATAACGTACTTGAATAATATGTAAATATGATTAGGGGTTTCCAAAGACTTTTCAATCGAAAAAACAGTTACGCTCGGTTAAATAAAACTAGATATCACTTACATTAAGTCCATGTTTTTGTATTTTACTACCCAAAAGAATGACACTAGAATCACTGCAGAAACTTCCACATGAATCCTAAATACAGTTTTGTCATCAAATCGTATGTAATGTCTCTTACAGAGCGAACAAAACATGTATACCTGACAGACACCTCGCCCAGTTACGCACACACTAGTGTAGTTTCATAAAAAGCATTGAAACACATGGCTTATCAGAAAGGATTTTACCAATATCTAACTAACACACTTTCATAGATAATTCTGTGCGTTTATTAGCGTTTGCAATTGAATCACATTCTGATTTTGTAATATACTAGCAGTTGCTCGCGACTTCGTCAGCGTGTAATTAAAAAATGATTAAAGCGTAGCTTATGTTACTCACAGATAAATTACCTTTCTAATGGTGAAAGAATTATTAAAATCGGCCCAGTTTTGAGTTTTCAATATATACAAAAATACAAATCTCTCCTCTTTATATTAGTATAGATAGATAATTTCTGCCCGCAATTAAATAAGGAATTACAAGTAGCTTATATGTTCTAGACAATGTTCTTCATCTGTGCATTTCAGCGAGATTCAATAAATCGTTTTAAAAAATGTAACAATCATCCATACATCCAAACTTTCACATTTAGTATGACATATGACATTACATACATACGCGCGGGAATCATAACCCTTCCGTGTACATTTCCCTTCCAATATTAACTAAACTAAATATTATAAAAAGGAAACATTTGGATTTTTGTTTTTTGTATGTATTGAAATAACTCAAAAACTATTGCGCCGATTTTATAAATTCTTTCACCATTAGAAAGGAAATTTATCTGTGAGTAACATAGGCTACATTTTTATCATTTTTTTTTATATATATATATTATTACATTAACTAAATAGATTCTATTAGCTTACTTTGTAAAGGCTACTAAAGCATTTTGCGGTAAAGTTAAGGATTTTTTATGCTTTTCATGCATTATTTTTAAAAAAGTTATTGCCTACTTTTAATAATCATAGTAATAAGGAAACATTTTTGTTTTCATTTTTCATTGTCATTATTTGATATAAATTTTCCTGTTTCTATACTTTTTACAAAGAATTCACTATCGATGTTAAGTAACGAATAAGTATGCAGATAAGATTTCCTTAATATGAAATCTTTAATTATCTAATCAAATTAATTTTAGATTTTAAGGTGTCAGTTTATAAGTATCGCAAAGTCCATTTACTCTATTTGTTAAAGGGAAAATGGCGGCAATAGATTAGTTCCTTGTCACGCTTTTAGCCTAATCAAAATGAATGAAAAACCGAACTCCAATAATTTCTGTGTTATCAGTAAATTGCAGTTTTAAATAAACTTTTCCTAACCATCGTCACAGCTGGTCACACTATAAGTCCCCAGGGGCTCGGAGCTTACCCTAAGTAAGGGACGACTAGGCCATAGTCAACCACGCTGGCCCAGCACATGTTGGTTGACTTCACACATATCTTTGAATTTCTTCGCCAATATGTGCAGACATCACGATGTTTTCCTTCTCCGTAAGAACGTCGGGTAAATTATGTACATATGAAAAATTCGAAAAATCGAAAATTACATTGGTACATGGCGGGATTCGAACCCAAGACCTATAAAGTCAAGTGCTTAAACCACTGAGCCACCGACGCTCTATCCGAGTAAATAAAATTATCCTCTGAACTTTGTTTATTTATTTTAGTGTGTAGATGCTTTCAACATTAGCAGAGATTTTACGAACTCTAAAAGCGGACTTTTTTCCGTTGAAAACTCTAGATTTTAAATAAGCAGGCGCTAAAATATTTTGCAACATTTCAACAGATATTTTTGTTACAGAATTAATAAAACTGCTTTGTATCAGTTAATCTGGTAAATGGCTAGATTTATTGATTCAAATAAAATTTTAAACAAGAAAAAATATACATAGCTTTTCAGTTTTGCCTTAATTTTCAATAATTTTAGCGCCTGCGATAAAGTAATGGTAAAGTAAGAAGTCTACAACATTGCATTTTTTCTTTTTTATTGTGTTTTAAATTTATAGACATTTTATGGTCTGTATTAAATGGCTAAACTGTATTCACCTAAGTTTCACTACTTTTTTTCAATTTTCATAGTAACACCCCAAGTGTTGGCAATGATATATTTTAAAATTAAGTTATGAAAATTTTATGCCTTAGTGGATATTTGTAATAAAGAAAAAGTTGAGTATTCTTGACCCACTTTTACTGAAAGTGGGTCCCGTCTAATGATTACGCTGACGCCGGACAAAAATGTAACGTCTTGATAGATTGAGCTCTTGAACTATAATAAGGAAAGCTGTACTAATATTGTAAAGAGTGAATATTAAAGTATACACATGCCAATAGCTGGCTTTGTCGAGGTCGGTTTAGTAAGGCTTTGTAAATCATTTCGAATATTTTTCATAGCAAAATTCCCACCCTTGCTGCACTGATATACAGAATGGAATTCTAAATGAATTAGTAAACTGTCGAAAACCAAGCATTTTGTAAATTCACAATCGATAAAAATTAATAAGAGAACTTAAGTTAAAACGTGTTTCTCTTTGACGAAGGCAATTTCTCTGAACGGAGTCACAAAAACTCGACAAAGTTTATCGCTGACAAGGAATAATGTGAGAAGTTTGCAATTGTTCTTTAACAATAATTATTCATCTGTGGTCATGAAATGAGTTATTTTTTTCCTTAAGTTACCTATGTAACACCAGTAAAAACGATGTGTGATTTTTGTATGTTTTTCTACAATGGAGGCCAACGTGATCAGTTTTATAATATTTTATATACGCGTACGATTTAAATAAAATCACTGCCTCATAGCAAAAGCTGGTTAACACATTTTTTGTATCACTGATCGCTCCTGGGTGGCATTATGCTTTTTTTAATAATATAAGATGGCAAACGAGCAAGCGACCACCTGTATCCACCAAAATGGAAAATGACCGCTGCCCACAAACATCCGCAATTGCAGATGCGTTGCCCACCCCTAATTGACGGAGGAGAACCACAAAAAGACATTGCCCTTTCTTATGCGTCTCCTCCACCGTCATATCCACTTTTCCTTCCCATCCTTTCTTCTTAAGAAAATGGTGGAAAGGGAAGGGGAAAAAATGTATTATTAATGTAAAAAGATTGATGATTTAAGCTATACATTTATTTGAAACAGTATTTTTTATGGTAAGGACAAATTTGTTTCATGAATTATTAATTAAATTGCTTCCAATAAATAGAAGTTACAACCGGAATGGCGACAGATGGCGCGGGTAACGACAAAACTTTACAGCGTAACAGTTTA